TTTTTTTTTTTTTTTTTTTTTTTTTTTTTTTTTTTAACAGTCTGTTTTTTTTTGTTTTTTTTTTTTGAATGACTCGAGTTCTGTGAAATCCAGATTTTTTATGCAGGGTAATCATATCAGGATGATTTCATACCAGCTCCCCCTTGCAGTTGAGGTTTTTTTCTTCCAATGGACATTCTGTTGAGATTTTCCGGGATAATTCAGAGGACTCCCTCTGACACATTTAGTGCTGGAGAACCTGAATCACTTTCCTTTCTGCCATCACAATCACTTTTTTTGTGAAAAGGAAGTGTGATAAGAGAGCTGCTTTAACCCCCTTGCTGTTGGTCAGATATTAGTGGGTGTGGTCCATTACACGGCCCACATGAACACTCAACAGAGATCCAAAACTTGCATAACACTTTTTATCCCATTGCTGTAGTGTAGACACTATATATTGTCCCTATTAACTCTGAATGTAGAACAGTTCATGCTTCTTAGTTTTCTCCCATTTTCTACTTATTCAGCTAAAGTCACCTTAGAGAATTACTTTGCATGAATGCATGTGCTCTAAATACTAAATATGCACTTTTGTTTATTCCCAGCATAGATCTCATTTGTTCTGAGTGCTCTGCATGAGTCATTTTTAATTGCATAATTGGAAGTTGTGATAGAAAATAAATATTTCTGCAGTTCATCTCAATATGATTTGTTTTTTTCTTTTAGTCTATGAAACTGAACATTTTCATCTTTAATAAAGCGTTATGGATTTATGGAAGGTCAAAATCTGTGCTACTCTTGTCTAGATTGGGTGTTTTGGCCACGCCTGATGTCGTCGTGTCTGGTCCAGTGGCCCAGTTATCCATTCCTATAAACCATAAGTTTGAAATTATACGAGGTATGTAGATTCTCTTTTTTGTTTTTCATCTCCATGTCAGTCATTTTAGTTTCACTCTGCATATGTTAAAATATTGCTACATGTTCTTGATATTTTTTGTGGACATCCGCCCTAATTCTGTCAAAGGATTCAGTAAAATATAATGCTAATGATACACAAATATGTGTTATTCACACTCCTTTTACCACATTTCTACAAGCTTTTGTAGATTTTATTTAAATTTAAGGCTTTAAGAAAGTAGTGCATAATTGTGAAGTGGAAAAAAAAAGGTGCAAGGTGTGGTGCGGATTCTCTTCAGCGGGAACAGCTGGACGCGTGTTGTGGGTTTGCCCCAGTGGAAGCTGCTCTTCTCTGAAACAGGCGAGGCTCAGTGGTGTTAAATAAATCCAAACTTCACATAATGCAATAACAAATGTTGAAACGCATAAAACACATCACTACAATGGATAAAAATAGCTGTTATGAAGCGCTCTGAAATAATAAAACACAGAATGCACAGAAAGAGTTCAGCACAAGTCAGTGCAAGACTTCTCTGACTGAATTATTACTTTTCCCTCTTGACTCATGAGTAGAACCTCCTCGCTGTTTGGCCACTGTCAGTCAAAAACTCTTGTGTTTGCCAATCAGCATCGAGCTGCCAGCTTCATGACGAGCCCCTGTTCCACAGACCTAAGAGGTTTAGGCTCACTGGAAGTGACATATTTTGGTGTGACATACAGTCAGGACCTCACTTTCTCGCTGCTTACCTCATAAGACTGAGGCTCAAACCTCAAAGGGGATTTCTCATAGAGACTGACGGGCAGCTTCCTGCTGTTCCAGAGCAGGGGGGGAGAACGAGCAGCTGATTAATGTGCCACAGTCTCATGAAATCAGGCACATTTTTGCGCATATTTGATGCAGTTTAATGACTATTTTAATGAAGTTTGAATGCATATTTTACCACTCCTTGTTATAAATTTCCAGGGGAGTTTTAGCCTTTTTAGTATTCAATGCAAAACCACCACTGGTTTGCCCGTACCAGCTTTGTATCTTTAGAAATGGACTAATTTGCTCAATTTTCTTCTTAAAAGAATCAGTAATAAGCGGCATTCACAGACATGAACCACTTTGTGTTAAATCAAAATAGCTGTAATTTTTTCACTTGTAAGGTGTCAAACTGGGGAAATTCAAAGGTGTTTTCATTACTATTTTAGGTGTTTTTTAACTTTTTTGAACCTTCACTGAAGGTCAGGTCAAATTGCTGTAAAATTGAAGGTCTAGGCCAGTAGCATTTTCATTTTCACTTCAAAGGAAAATATTGGAAATAATCCAGATCCTGCTCCTCAGAAAAATCTGTAACACTGCTGGTCCACTCCCAGTGCAGACCTTTGAACTTCACTGTTTTCCCGTCTTTCTCGTTTCCCTCCAGAAGCTGAAGAGGCTCTTCTTATCGACTTCTCTGACAATCGTGAGTACTTTTTGTCTCCTTTGAATTAACTTTATGCATCCAATTAGATTTTCTCTTTATTTTCCTAGTTCATCCAGAGATTTTTAGTTTTTCAAGCGTTAATGCAGCTCCCCTTTACATTCTTACATGTGTCGAGCATGCCTGCAGCCAAGTGCCTTTATTTAGTTGGTCTGCAAGTAGCCAGGGCTCGCTGAAAGAATGCTGACTTGTGTTCCTGTTGCGCCACGTCTCTTTTGTTACTAAGCCACTTTGCATCTCTCTTGCAATTACAAAATCCAAACGTGTCTGACATGCATCTGTTTTGCTCCCTCGTCTTAAGCGTCTATTAAAATCCGACTAAAAGGAGAAAAGGCTCCAGAGCTGATGCTTGAACTCCAGGATGACGAGCGGACTCAGACGTTCTTAACCCAGGTGAAAAGTGCTCAAGAGCGAGGTGAGACTGGCTGCTTAGAGTAAGATGATAAATTATTGAGTCACTCATCTAACATTTATTTACCTAGGGTGGATTTCACCACTCGCTGATCTCTGTGTGCTCTTACCTTCGCACATGAAAAAACAACTTTTAGAGATACTTTTAAAATGCCCTAAATTGACTTTTCTATTTCTTTTAATGCACTCAAACAGAATAAGACATTAGTATATTATTGGAATGATTAATGTTTTATAATTGTAGCTGCAATTTGATTTATGGGCTTAACAAAATTTGTTTTTGTTTTTTTGCATGAACTTGCACATATGCATGTATTTAGCTACTTTTATTAGTGTCTGTACCTCAGAGCATTGAAAAAAACTGTTCCAACATGCTGGAATATGTGTTGAGTCAGTGAGATAAATGCTTCATTAACTGCTAGCCATAATAATATGAAGCCACTGTGTTTTGCATATATATGATATATTTCATTGTGTTTCTTGCTTAAAGTGATATTGCTTGCTTAAAGTGACATGGACCTAATCTCAATCTGTCCCAACTAAAGGATTACATTAGTGAGAAATAAAAAGCCCCCACCAAAATGCTATATTAAATAATTTGTTTATTATAATTTTATGATGGTGTTAGATGTTTTTATTACCTTGATTAGAAAAATAAAAGATAGTTGGTACGGTTAGAGAATTTTGATCTAACAAATAGGGTTTTGAATTGGAAATGGTTGTATAGGTTATGGTTATTATTTCAGTTTTTTTATTTATTTTTACGCGCTGGCATTGAGTTGCTGACTGGGTGGTAACCCCTCATACTTAACATGCATGTAGTGACAGCGGAAGATAATAAAAGGAAGTGAGTCGCAGTTCAGCTGCACTTTTCCCTTAATTGTGAAAGCTTTTAAAAGTTAACTCTTAATGTCCAATCAAATGAGAGTAGATATAAGATTGTTGAGGGACAACTCTAGTATTTCTTTTTCCTCTGGGACAAAAAGTTATGATTTAAGCCTTAATACAGTGCAAACAATCTGTGTGAATATTTGTTGTTTGTAACACTTGGGGGTTAGTATGCATTAAAGCCCGCAGGGCTGCTGCCAGGACTGTATAATGTGTGGCTGACATATAATCCTATAGTCAGGTTACATAATATTTGCATCACATAGGACTATTTTGAATGCAGTAAACCATGATGAGAGACACAACAGTAAAGATAACATGGATTTATTAAAACGGATATTTTTGTGACAATATTTCTAAAAAAAAATGTCTCTAAATATTTTTCCAAAGGCAAACGACTTGAACGTGCTGCAGCAACAGACATTGGAATCTGGTTTTAGCAAAAGGTTTCTCATATTTTTAATCTAAAAATGCTGACAGATTATCTTTTAGCTATTGAAAAAGGGTCAGACTGGGACATTTTATCTTTAACTTTATCATTAACAAACATTTGTTTAATGCTGAAATTGAAAACATCTGATTTATATGTGTCTTCTACCTATATTTTAGGGAATTAGAGGTTTAAATGATGAGTCTTTTAGTTTAAAATTGGTGCATGCACAGATGACTCATGGGAGGTAGTCACAGAAACTAGGGGACGCAAATTATGGGTTAATGAATTGATCTACAGTTGGTTGATCGCATGGATAGTCTAACCATTAAAGGTATTGTGGAGGATTTTTTTCTCACATTTAAAAAATTCACAATTCACAATTCTCACATTTAAAAAATCCACTTAAAAAATAAAATAAAATAAAAAAAATGCACATGCACAACCCTGTACCTTCTCCCAAGAGGAAATGCCTATTACCGTAAATGCCTCATCATCATTATTGGTGTTAACGTTTTAGTCTACAAGTAATTCTAGAAAATGTCACATCTTGTCATCAACACTTAAACCAGCTGGTTAAACGGGCGCTATCTAGGTGGTAATTTAAGGAGTCTATCAAAGAATTATTTACTTACAAACGGAACATAATAAAATTCATTCTGCATCATTGTTGCCATTAAGGAGTGTAAATAATGCTGGACTGGTTTCTGCATCCATTCATGGTTCTATTTTAGCACGCTTATGCTCTGGCATTACTTCTCTTGCAAATACTAGTGACGCTCCGCTTAAGAATGAACAGTGACGCCCTCTAATGGGCAGCGGTAACATTACAACACGGACTGAAATTCTTCCTAAGCGGATGATATTAACTAATTATATGGAACAAATTATTATCTAATAAACCATTAATCCACAATAATTAGTCACTTATTTATTTACATCCCTAAAAGCAACATTATGGTAAAGTGGCTTTAGCGGGTTACAGAGGTATGCTGAGCTACAGCATCATCATTAAAAAGGATGCAGCTCTTATGTACACACTGCAATATGGAACCAGCATTATCTCATTTTTCCACCCTGTTTCAAAAATGTGCATTTATGCTCTCCCAAAACTAAATCAACAAAATGCCTTTCTGGTTACACCTTATTTCGTCCCTGTGTGGATTGGGCGTAAGAACATTCTTAACAGTTTTGAATCATTTTCTTCAGTCAGTTTATTTTATCTTTTAGTCGTGCAAAGCTGGGGTCTTTGGTTGTGTTTTACTAGTTCAGTTTGAGAAAGAGTTATTGCATGTGATAAAAAGAGCAAGTTGGCAAAAAGTAGTCCAGTTGCCTAAATCGTTACCTAGCTGTTCCCTGTCCACGCTTCAGTGGGAGTGTTGAATTTCTATCCTGCTTGTTGCTTGTGCCAAACACTGGAGAGGTACATATTTTTAAAGGCAGGTTTCGCTAAAGAAGACACTTACAAATATCCTAGTTAAACCTGTCCATCTAGTTAAATACCTCTTACTGTACGCTTTGTTTCACTGATTAGATCTAGTGCTCAGACTGTTCTAAAGTCAAACTCACTCTAGTTAGAATTTGTCTCAGAACAACATGGTTTGATCCACTCTGTATTTGTTTTTGTTCATTTGTTCTTTAGATAATTTAAAAAAACACACATTTCAGAAGGTCCTCTGGTGATATCACACCAGGCACGAGACAACAGACCAGTTCTTATCATTTTTATTATCATTCTCTTTCACTTTGTGCGTCTTTTAAAGTATATTTAGTTTTAAAATATTTTATTTTCATTTTTAAAGCTGTACAAGGTGAGCTGTATTTGAGAACAGAAGATTGACTTCAAGAAAAAATTAACATTAAAACAAGAAGTGGTTCTTTGATGATAAGGGGTTTGTCTGGAATGGTCAGAATTTATTTAAATACAGCTTCAGTGATTCTTTTATGGAAAATTATAAAACATTGTAAGATTGTTGATTTTTTTTTTTTTTATGTCAGAGGTGGTGTTAACCTTTTGCCATGCAAAAAGTAAAACTTGCAGTATCTTAATAAGATAAAGTTTTTTTTTTTAGGTATTTGTAAATTATATATAGTTTCTTTGATTTAAAATCCGTGCTGTTTTTAGCCAAATATTTGTATAAAAAATGTATGTTTCTAAGTTTGCTTTAAAAAACAACACTCTGTAAGCTTGACCCAAGTGTGAGATTAATTTGGGATACATTAAATGATTTTCTTCAGGTCAATATACAGCCCTTGGTACATATTGCTGCGCCGTGCAGGCTGCGTTTCTCATAAACTCACCTATGTTACTGAAGAGGGTTGGATTACCGGGTTCTTTGCCAGCACATTTCAGCGTAGTGGACCTTCATGCTGAAAGTTGTCACCATTACGCTGAAATTAGGCTGTTATGCTCATTTTTTAGGAGCCTATGAGTCCTAATAATTTTATGGTCGCTATCAGACATATACTAAAAGTTATTTGGTATTAATTGTTTGTCTCATGCAATTTTTTTGTTTAAATTGTTTTTTAAAAAAGTAAATATTACAGTAATTTATATTAATTATTGAATATATTTTGACTAAATGATGTGCTCTCTCTAGTTGCAGCCAAACCAAGTAAACCTAAAGCGATGGAGCCCCTCACGCCAGCAGCCTACAGAGGCCCCGTCCCCATACCGCCACAAAGGCCAACAAAGACAGCTAACAGCTTTCCTGGTGGAGACAATCAAGCTAAAAGTATCAAAGCTCCAGTGTCCAACCTCAATAATACAGCAGCAAATCATAATTCTACAGGTAATGCATAGATCCACTGGTTTACAAATGAAATCTTTGTTTTCAATCTTACAATTGATCTTTTCTTGCTTTATTCGTCTTTGCTATTCATTTGTGTTTACTTATCCAACCAGATTATGCATATGTGGACAGTTTAAAGAACACCGTTAAAGTGGAAGAGAAGAAGAATCAACAGAATCGCATTGTTGCCTCCAGGGAGCCGCCTCCTATCCCCACTCTACCTCCCCGTAAAGCATCCTTCCCTCCATCCAACCCTCTTCCTCCTGCACCCATCCCAAAGGAGTCCTCTGCAGCCCTACAGGCCAGAGGCAGCTCCGTTATACCCAACACCAAGTCAGAGTAAGTCAGGCTGGACAACTTTATGGTCAGTGTAATTTTTCTGAATTATTATTGTCTTTTCAAAATCTCACCTCTTTTTCCATCCATTAGGTTCAAGTCCGAGTTTGG